TGTGTGTGTGTGTTTGGGGGGGGCAGGTACAGTGACACGCACTCTCTCAGCTGTGTTTCTCCATCACTCTGACAGGTGGAGGTTGTGTAACAGGGTTGTAATTCAGAGGTCACATGGAGACTGTGTGTGTTTTCCTGAGTGTGTGTGCACGTCATAGTGTAACCTGACTGGTGGGCCAGATCTGTTTTTAGTTGTCCTGCCCTTCTCACTATCAGAGACCACATGATTGCCTGTCTGTCTGCCTGTCTGTCTGTCCTGCAGTGTCATTCTGGAGGGATTCTGTAATGAAAGCCATCATTTTCCTATGTGTGGTATTTGTAGAGCCTCACAAACAGTGCAGCTGCACTTCAGTACAGATTATGTGCAGCAGTAACATCCAGAGAGCCTCAGTGAGCAGCTAGTGTCCACACCAGTCACTACAGAGAAGTCTCTATGTACTACTAAACAATGAGCCAAAGTTTCAGCTTAATAAAAGTCCGAGCCTGCTTCATACGCAGTGAGTGTATCTTTGGTCTTTCTGAAGTGTTGCTACATGTCCATAACGGTTCCACTGAATCTGGGTTCTGCTCAATGTTCATTACGTGGCGACACAATAACATGTTGCCAAAATAGTTTCTGTCAGATTAAAACAATACTTATTGATTTAATGTTGATCCGGGTGCGTTCATATATGATTAATATTGTTGATTTAAAATATCAAAGCGGAGTTCGAGATGGCGGACAGCTGCAGCAGCACATTGGTTGGGCCTCCAGAGGTCAGCAGGACAATCTGTCAGATCTGAAGTATGAGGCTGTTTACCTAAAACAGACTGACCTGGAATCTGTTCTGGTCACCTGATCCTGCTCACGTTCCCCTTGGACTCCGCTGGAAGAATCAGAATCAGAAGAATCAGAATCATCTTTATTTGTCATTGTCACAGGTACAATGAAATTGCTAAAAGGGGGGGGAGAGAGATGAGAGGAGAGGAGAAAAAAAGCAGCTCCCAGACTCTGCTCCTATAGGGGAGTACAGTCTGGGACTTGGAAAAACCAGTTTACACAGTGCTGCATGTGACCTGATTAAAGGACAATTCCGGCACTAA